AGTCCTATCAGTACAGTGTGAAGGTGCTACTGTGCGTGTGGTGAACCATTCACGGGGTACCCCGAGAGTTTTCTCCTCTCAGCGCTGTGCTAACCAGCGAGTCCTCCTGTGATCAACCGCAAAGGGAGGATGGAAATACCGATCATTCGGTCCCACAACCCAGCAGTTTTTGCCTACTGCCTATTTCGAAAGTGACACTGCCCAAGAACATAAAGCTAGCTGGTGAATTTCCACCACGGTGTTCGTGTAGCGCCCTGACTTAGTTCTTTCTGGCTGCCATCTCATGTGATCCTAGGCAGGGATAGCCGAGTGGTTAAGAGTGTAGACTCATGTTCGCACTCTGAGCCGAGCTCGATCCCTACCGAGGCACAAACCGTGCCTTGCAAAAAAAAATTGCAAAAATGGGGACGATGCCAGCGTCGGGCGCAGGGCAGCCCGCCTGATTAGGAAACTCGTCACAGCAATCATGACAAACCGCAAAAGTGAGCTAGGACGTCACCCGGAAGTGGCGCGCAGAACCCTCGCATGAGTTTCGTGGTCAGTATGCGAGGGCTACCAAGGGGTGAATGACCTCGGCCAAAGAAGCCAGTTTGAATTGGGACCCTGAACGCGGGGTCGCTTACCGGAACGTCTCGTGAGGTTACCTCATGAGACGCAGGAATATCAAGGTCCTATGCCTTCAGAAAACGCGATGGAAGGGTGCGAAGGCATGCAAGATTGGAGAACGTGTCAAATTCTCCCACAATGGAGAGGACACCAAACGAAATGGTGTGGCCATAGAGGTGGCAGAATCCCTAGGACTGCCTGTGAACAAGGTCAATGATCAGATCATGGGAGTGGAAATGGATACGAAGGAGGGGTATTGGACAGTATTGGCCGTGTGCGCCCCACAATCCGGTTGCTCCGAGGCGAAAAAGCATGAGTTCTACCTGATCCTGGACGAGGCCATATGATCGGTTCCGGAAGATGACTACTTCACCATAGCTGAGGAATGGCCATGTGGGAAGTGAGCGAACGGATCTAGAAAGGATGCACGGAAGTCAAGGAATAGGAGCAAGGAACGCTGAGGGAGAACGGATCCTTGACCTAGCACAGCCCTTGACTTAGCAATCTGTAGCACCCTAGCACCCTCTTCGCGAAAAGAAAGGCTCAGAAGGTAACCTACAGCAGTGGAGGGAGACACATGCAAATCGACCATGTCCTGGTGAGAAGTTCGCCCCTCAAAACCATATTCCCATCAAGGATATCGATATTCGCCTGGGGAAAAGCTGGGTCCTCGGCACAGGCCTCTCCTGGCAGCCATCGCCATAGACCTCCCCAGGAAGACGATGGTGAGAATAGAGCGGAGATTTCGGTGGTGGAAAATGCGCAAGGTAGAAAAGGATAGCCTCGGTCGAAGCATACTGGAGGTTGAGCTCCCAGACCTACATGGTCCAGGTGTCCTGGACATGGTCCTGTCCAGGACACCTGGACCTACGCAGCAGAGGTCATCCTACAGTGTGCAAAGGAACTCCTGGGAGAGAGGCGAGGTGGTGGTATCAGAGGAGACAAGGCAGCCTGGTTCTGGAACGAGGAGGTCCAGGGGATTGTCAAGCAGAAGGAAGCATGTAAACGCTGTACGAGAAGCTGGAGGGCCGAGAAGGGGACAAGCTTCTTCTCTGCCTGGCTCAAGCTCGGCATTACGCCGCTCAAGACATGGTAGTAAGGACTGTGAAGAGCAGCAATGGGGCCATTCTCAGTGAACCAGCCGAAGCCAGAGAGAGAAGTGGGAAGTATGCTTCGAGGAACTTCTGAGCAAGAATCCCCGCTAGGATAGCCCACATATAGAGGCAACGGCAGGTCCTATCACTCTCTGGACGGAGGATGAATTCCGCCGAGAGCTAGGGAGAATAAAAGTTGGGAAAACAGTGGGGTAATGGTAGAGGCATGGAAGGCTCTTGGAGAGCATGTGGTGAGTTAGCTCACACACTTCCTTAACAACTTGACGGCCGAAGATAGGATGACGGATGCGTGAAGGAGCAGCAAAATCGTCCCTATCTTCAAACAGGAAGGGGACGCGACGGAGTGTTCCAGCTACCGCGGTATCATGTTGACTCTCCATACCATGAAGCTGTACGAGCGTCCGATACACATGGCTATGGGAACTCGTCCCTATCTCGCAGCAACGGTTCAGCTTCATGCCCGGAAGGTCCAGCACTGATGCCATCTTAATTGCCAGGCAGCTGATGGAGAACTTTCGAGAGAACGGCGATCCTGCTACCTACCCTTCCTGGACCTTGGGAAGGCATTCGACCCCCTGCCTCGGCCTGTACTCTGGAGAGCGCTTAGAGAACGTAACATTCCGGTGCACCTGCTCTCTATACTGAAGGACATGTACGATGGGGCTAAAGCAGCTGTACGCACCCCTCACCCCACGAAATCCAGGAAGGTGCAGCGGCGGCAGGATGTCGTGCTGAGGACGGAATTCGGCTGAACGTAAAAAAGTCCAAGTTTCTGAGCTCTGAATAGTGAACGAACCCATCGTAGACCGCCGTGATGCAAGCGTTCTCGAGCACCGTCGGTCGCAGAGGTCCGTCCTGAAGACCACCCAATAAGGAAGGCATTGGAATTCGAAGTAGAGGGCAAACGACCACGAAAGCCCCAAGGAAAAGATGGAGGGACGTCATCAAGAAGGACCTCACTGAAGTGAAAGCCACGGTAGAAGATGCCGTGGATCGGAATAAGTGGCACCGTCTAACAGGAACAGCAGACCCTGAGACGGCGCACTCTAGGGAGAAGAAGAAGAAGAAGATCTTATCTACTCCCTCAAGAGCCATCTTGTGGGTCGAAAATACGATTTTCGAAAGCACCTCAAAAATGATCCGACTGTCTTTTTCGACACATAGCCAAGATGCTTCTAGAAGCAAGGCAAGCACTCCTTGCTCGGTGGGTGGCAACAAGTTGCCGATGAAGGTAACATACAGGAGAGGGGGGGGGGCAAAAAAAGACACTTCGACCGGTCACATCAGCAAAGTTTTCGCAGCCCAGACAGAGGACGTGGATACGAGTACCAGGGCGGAAGATACTCACGACGTTCCTCGATAAGCAGGAGCTGGCTCTCACCCATCACCTTCATGTACACCAAAATATGAAGTCAGCTCCACTCGCAGCCTGACTGGAGAAGACCTTTGGAATTCATGTCACCTCCAAACAGCCGCGAAACTTGTAATGTGAAGTCACCCATGGATAGCTTCTCCCTTGCTCACCTTGTCCACTTTCCTCGTCTCTGGGAAGCTCTTGAGACGAATTACAATTCCGGCTCTGTTGTACTAATACGACTGCAAATTAATTTTTTTTCGTTGAAACTTTCAGTGTAGAGGATATTCGGCTCTCATCATAACTATGGCACCCATGTTTCTTGCAAGCTTTTCGTCACTTCCTTTATAGCGAACATGAAAATCTTCATAATGGGGGAGACTTGCAACAGAATCGTCCGGGACAGCGCCCGTCTCACGCAGCGCGTCGCGCGGCGAATGACGAAGCAGCTGTCGGATGTGTATTTGCTAGCCGATAGCTTTGCGATCGGAGCGAATGATTTACTACAGCGTACACCCGCAACGCTTACCAGATTTCATCATTAATTAGAAATCTGTGGATGTTTCTCTGATTGTAATACACAGTTATTTCGCGGATCCATAGACGCAACCTCAGGAAATAAACAAATACAAAAGAAATCAAGTATTATTCCCGCAGTCGTCAGCGTCAACATTTAGTAGATGAACGGTCTTTTCCTTGAGCTGCTGTGAAAAATGACGCACCAGAGTAAATTTTAAAGACCTTAATGAAGCTCATTCTAATGAACTTTCTCATTTTCTATGGAGAAACAATGAAAAAACTAAAAACTTCACCGGTAATGTACACAAGACTCAGTCATGGGTGATATCAATTTTTACCGTCCCTTCAATATTCCTATTCAAACCGCCAGACGCATGATTCGTTTCTCGCCGCAACTATGTCGCAAGCCATGCCCACCAGCCTCACCGGACGATTCTGTTGCTACACACCCCATAATGGGGCTGTGTGATGTCCTGTCTACAAATATGACATTCATTTTTCGACATCAGCGCCGTAGTGCGTTCTGCTAAAGCTGAGCCTGGGAGAAGGGGAGCTTCCTTTTCTGCCAGGCTCAGCCGCAGCAGAACGCAGAGGATCGGAGTGCCCTGGAAGCGCTGACAAACAAAATAGATTCAATATGTCTTTATCAGGATGCCAAACAACCCTAGTATGCAAATTCAAACAATTTTAGGTGGCAAAGGTCGGTCGAAATTGGCTCTTGTGGCCGTCAGATGGCGACAGCGCCAAAATCGCTACCAAATGGGCCGCTACGGGAACTGCATATCATATTCGTGACCAAGGCGGCGAATAACCTCTATATGTGGAGTTCCCCGGGAATTTTTTCTTGAGTCTTAGGAGTCGTAATAGTGCAGTAGTGGCGTACCCCCCATCTGAGACTACCCTCCGTCAGAGGAATCGTCTCTTTCACATTCCGTTGCTTGCCCACTCCTGACCGTTATCCCCTTTTCTCCATTCTCTGGCCTGCCTTGTAACCGAATTATGAATGTAGTGGTTATCACCACTTCTGCCCATGTTCAACTCACACCCAGACTGTCCAAGTGACTCGAGATTATAGCGAATTTTCTCATACACAGACAGTCATATGGACTTACATGAGCAGAAGAGCAAACGCAGCTGAACATACATCGAGTTGAGCAGAACTCTGGTGAAACTATGCGAGCACAGTTAGAGTATATTGCGAACAAATGCAGTCTGCTTCCATCTGTATGGTTCTCAGTCCAACAGTAGTTCGAGAACATCTAAAATTGTTACTACTGTAATGAACCGATACCAAAATGATACCAAAACTCTTAATGCTGTTGGCGTCAGCAGACTGATGATCAGCGAGGGATGAATGGTTGTTTGTCACGGTGTGGGGCGAGTTGTCGCATTATACACCGTATTGCATGTCTAATACCGCGCATTTTAATCCATGGTTCCAAGAAATTGGTGAATATAGGTTCTGCTTCTGCAATGTCTTCGACTTTACTCGTGTTCCACCTAACTCAGAAAGCAGTGTTTCAGGTCTCATACAGATATCCGCCCTTACAACTGCAAAGAGTGTAACTTTTCATTCAAAACAAAAGGAAACTGGACAAAACACCTTAACTCCAAGACTCATCGGAAACGTTTGGTGCAAGGTAACCTCCACGCTATAACCCATTTTCTGTTTATCTCCTCTTCCATTCAGGTTCTGGAAACGATAGTGAGAATGACGACGGGTTAGTGATAGCCAGTCCAGATGATGACGTTGAACAATGTTGCCCGTATAACGAAATGGACTCTTTGTTAAATAGATCGTAAGTATCGATTAATTTTATCCCTTCACATATGGTTGTCTGCTGAATTGCGTTGTAGCAGCTCTGATGAAGAAGCTGATGATCACTTGCCATTACCACAAGAGGCCGCTGGTAATGCGTATAGGAAGTTTGGGCAAGGCAAGTTCTTGTGGCTCCCTACAGATTTCTTAATTGCAACTTCAAAGCCTTGAAAAAAGTAACAGTGTTATTCAGAAGTCATACTTTTTGAGCGTATGGCGCACACACCACCGTCAAGATGGATGCTTGCTGATGAAGAGGTTGATAATAGATGGCCCGATTCTGAGCGAACGCGGAATTGTAGCTCAGCTCCGCCATCAGCTGCGAGTCCAGTCAAAGAGGATGCCAAAGAGGAGCTTAGTGAGAGTGAAAACTGTTTGACAAGTCTCATTTTATCATGTTATCTTGTGAGACCTTCGCTGCTAACGTTCGATCATCCTAGAAAAAGTACGCACTCCCGTGCCTTTCTTGGCGAGATCGGAAGAATCGCCATCAGTGGTAGGCTCCATTGCCGGCGGTCCTTCTACTCATTTTTGTCATCCTAGTCCGTCGGGGTAATCTTGCAACTTTTTCGTCTTGCCTTATTGGTCAGTCCTATGCATGAAGTATCTCCTTTGTGCCAGTCATGTGGCTAGCCACTAACGAAAACATCAATCAAATGAGAGAAGTGATTGTTCATCGGTGATTTTTTTTATGAGAACTAGAGCTGATCGAGAATTCTGCTACAAATATGACTCGGTATATGTGCAATCATAAACACATACAAAAACACTCAAACACGACCAGCCAGTATCCAATCAAAAAAGTGCTCTCCTCAGCAGACACTCATTTGTATCGATGGAGCAGGATGATGGATGGGGAACATCTACGGGGGGGGGGGACCAAAAAAAAGTCACTTTTCTTCATTGACTTTCGAGGCGCTATAAATTACACTTTATCAAACTCTCATCGGACATTTTCACCACCATATTAAAGAGCATATTAAATACTATCATAACACTCCGCCACAGACTTCTGTACGAGCGCCATTGAGAAATTTTGGCGCGCGACGCGATGTGGTGCCTGAGATCAGCGGGTAGTCGATTTCTCCGCCACCGTAGACCACCCTGTTGAACTCCGCCCGAACCGGGTAATTGAGGGGATTCAGGTCAGGTGACCTACTCAGATATTCCACCTTCTTTAGGTATTCAGCCCCCTTCCATTCCAAGAAGGCAAGAGTTTCTCCAATGCCCTTCGATTCCATGTGGTGGCACCCAATGCTGTAGCAGTACAAAGTTTCCAAGAAGGTGCGGACGACGACATGTGAGAAGGATACTCTTCTCAAGTTGCTCGATGTAACCGCTAGCGCTCAACTTCGTCCGGGGTCCACGAAGAAATCATCGGTCTTTCCAGTCCAGGTACGTCCGGTCCATACCATCAACACGCGCCCTGGCGACTGCGGTGAAGATGATGTCCTAGACCGTGGCGACGTTGTCGGAGCTGCTCGATGATGGAGGTCTTTCAGATCAAGAGCACTGGTCTCCAGGTAGCTATCCATGGATGACTCCATACTAGAAGTTTCAGCTGGTTGGGGGTGACCTGAATTCCAAAGGTCTTCACCAGTCAGGCTGCGACTGGAGATGACTTCATATTTTAGTGTACATGGAGCTGATGGGTGAGAGCCATCCTTCTTATCGAGGAACCTCTTGGGCATCTTCGGCCCTGGTACTCGTATCCACGTCCTCTGTCTGGGCTGCGAAAACTTTGCTGATATGTGACTCGGTCGAAGGGACTTTTTTTGCCCCCCCCCCTGTAGGGAGAGTGTCAAATAACGATTCGGCAGCGTTGCTGAAACTAGTCCAAAATTCCTGCGCGCTATAATCCACTTTTTGGATTGGGATTCGTGGCCGTTAGTAGCGATACACATTCGGTTTTCAGTATGTCAAGAACCTTAATTTGCAGTGGCATCTTCAACAATGTTGTCTTCTTTGGCGGTGTCTGTAATTTTAACGCTGTGTCCCACGTCAGGATCTCACGTACAGCAGCTGCAGCATAACCATGTTGTACAGCAGCCAACTACATCGATCTACTCATATTCTTCCAGAGAGGTGAGTCATGTTGGTGCTTTCAAGCTTATCTGCTAATAATTTCTGTGGAATCTTGAAATACTACTGTGTAACAGATTTTTCTATGAGCGTAAGGCAATGCTATTGTTTGGTATAGATAACAAATAGGTATAGACAACAAATCCAGGGAAAACAGATGTGACCCCAAATTGACTATAATGGACACCACATAAGTTACTATATTCGCAATCGGATCCCCTGTATAGCCTATGAGGATCAACGTACAGCAACAATCTTGTTCAATGGTGCGTGAAAATCGAAATAGTTGAATAGCACTCACTCATGAAGTACAGCTACACGGAATGTGCCCATAAATGGCAAATATCCGGTTATATTCATGCGCAGACACTAAGAACAGCGAAACCTGAAAAATGCAAAAAGCCCGACGCAAGAGGAGTCGAACCATCAATCCCACCCTCACTGTCCCATTGCGAAACCTCCACTCTATCCGCCAGACCATCCGATCGTTGCCGCTGCATACCGCGCTGTTTGTTGAAGAAACCATAGCAAGAAGCCGTTCTCCCTTTAGCACGTGATCCAAGTTGGAAGCTAATTTGCGACGAGTTTTCGCTTTGATTTAAATAGTCCCTTTATAAGGACCTCCCACTCAGCAACTGGTCAAAGTTGCAAGTGACCTACGCCGCATAGAGGCCTAAAACGGAGCAGGTTTCAAAGATTTCTTTCACTCGTTTTTTTACCTTTCCTGGAAGCGCGCAGCAAAAACGAAGCACACTTTTCAGGTCCTCGCTTGAGCCCCTACAATATGCACAGAACCGTTTTTGAAAAGCGCACCACGCCCTGAACGACCTCCCTTGTAAGTGCGGTCTATCACTGGCGTTCTCTGCGACAAGACGATACCAGATCGCCTCATATCGAAGATCTACGGGACCGTCGTTTGACCAATCGCGATATACGGTGTTGAATGCTGGCCTACGACCAGAGAAGTTGAAGCGCGCCTCGGAGCCATGTAGATGAAAATGTTGCAATTGTTGAATTGATCTTGAGCAAGAGGTTCCCGGAAAGCGGCCTAAAGACCCCCAAGCAGCGCTGGTCAGAAGCACTGCATGCAGATTTAAAGATATCCATCCCGATCAAGCATTCAATCGGAAGAAATGGCGTGACAAAATAAGACGAGCGGACCCCGCTACAGAGCGGGACAAAAGCTGAAGAAGAAGGAGAAGATGGAGCACGTGCCACGTTGTTTGGTTCCTGAGAACTGTAGGTTAGCTACAGCAGTCGAAGCACATTTTTGGCTTGAACACTTTATCTCTTGGCTACTTCCCTGTGATGAAGCGAAGCCATCTATCGGGAAGCAGCACTATCACCCACTAACAAAGGAGGTCTTCCAGTTCGTGGCGCGGTTCATGGAAATGGTTTGTTGCTTGTTGTAGGGGTTCATACAAGGATCACAAAAATGAGTATCATTTCTGCTATGCGTTTTTGGGGAGTTCACGAATGAGTGAAAATATTTTGACAACAATGTGCGATTTTAACTATCCTAAGGCTCCGTTCTCATTGTATCTTTGAGCATGGGTTGTTTATGAGGTGCTCGTTAACTAATCTTTGAAATAAGCTCTGAATAAATTCAAAATGTAAGTGTCATCTAGTAACATACTCGGCATGCACCGGCGCAACAGTGACGTTTTTGTTAGCGTTCCCCCATGCTTACTGTCGAGGGATTAGATGGCGAGATAACTCGATGGATTCAGGATGGGACGACGATACAGACTTTGTGAATGGGATCCCCTTTGCGGCAAATTTTTTGCATTTTTCAACTTTCTACTCATTCGCGTTCCTGTGTGTCTAGCAGTGGAAATAAGCCAAGTAAATGCCATTTGAAGGCATATTCTTCGTTCTGATACCTTACAAACCATCTCGATTGTGTGGCGAAGCCTGTTTCCGGGAATGTTCTCGTCTCGTTACGTTAAGAGTATGTCGAAGAGGATCCGAAGAGGACTATTTTCAACTCCGACCGACTTCGGATTCAACGAAGGAGATGTTGTCGTCCCTTATCAAAAGACAGTAACTGATCTTCCCTATCGTTTGTTAGTGTAGTTGGTGCAATAGATGCATATGCTCACGTTTTGTTGATTTTTACCACAGTTGTTAGATTCTATCAATGAAGGGAAAGATTGGCGTAGCGAGACGAGAACATTCCCGGAAACAGGCTTCTCCACACAACCGAGCTAGTTTGTAAGGTATCAGAGAAGAATGGCACATACTCGGCTTATTTCCACTGCTAGACACAAAGGAACACGAATGAGTAGAAAGCTGAAGAATGCAAAAAAAAGTTGCCGCGAAAAGGATCCCATCCACGAAGTCCTGTGTCGTCATCCCATCCAGAATCCGCCGAGTTATCTGCTGCGCCATCCTATCCGCCGACAGTGGGGGGCATGAGGAGACCGTTGACAAACACATCGCTGTTGCGTCGGTGCATGCCAAGGCGTTACTACATGATACCTACATTTTGACTTTATTCAAAGCTATTTTCGAAGCCTAATTAACGAGCACCTCATAAACTATGCATGCTCAAAGTTACAATCAGAACGGAGCCCATTAGGATAGTTAAAATCGCCCATTGTTGTCGAATTCTTTTCACTCAGTTTTTGACCTCCCCAGGAATGCATAGCAAAAATGAAACCCATTTTTGTGATCCAGCAAAAATGAAACCCATTTTTGTGATCCTTGTCTGGACCCCTGCGACAAGCTACAAACGTTTTCCAAAAAGCGCGCCACGACATGAAAGTCCTCCCTAGTAAGAAGAAAAGGATCCCAGATCTGATTGGCTACTTGTAATGACACATATGCAGAGAGGGCCTAAAGAAGGCACTCGGTCCATGGATCGTGCTCCTACAACGTATTTCGCTCGGAGTGACCGCATGAATAAGTGAACGCTCTGAACAATCATATCAAACAGTGGTTCCAATCCTTGTGTCTTTCAAAGTGATCCAGAACTCAGTGAAGCCACGGGAATTTTTGTGTTGCAGACGACGAGTCTAACCACTTTTATTAGAATCGACCGCACACAAGAGCCAAACCGCGATGAACACAATCAACCGCACGAGCCTCAAACTAAGATAATTAAACGAATAAACAATGATTAGTCACTTGAATTGCGGAGCCAGTATAAGTGAGGTATTGATAACTGTTAGAATATCAAAATTAAACAATGTAATGGATAACACTGCGAAGAGAAGACGTGAACGTCTACATACAAACGGTCATGCGCAATTGTCATAAACTAAGACAACGCTGAGTTCGATGAGCGACGGTGTCCTGTAATAATATATTAGCCATCATTGAGCTTATAGAGAGGACGCTGTCGCGCCTTGAGAAGCTTGAGATGGAGACGATAAGTGCGCCAGTATCCCCTTCTCCTGCCCTTACAGCACAATTGACCAAGAGCTTGTATTATTAGGTTGGCTAATAAGTAATGGCGGTTTTTTCCAATTGAAAAATTTGTTCGAAAAGTGAAACGTTTTGCAAGTAAGTTATATATCATCTGATAGGAAACTTCTCGTAGTATAAGAATATCAAAAAAGCTTTGGTTGAGGTACAGTTTTTGTGGATTTTTTAGTCGTTGAAGTTGGAAGTGAAGTCGGCGAAAATTAGCATCTTCGACAACTGCCTCTATTTACGTCTACTCGAAGTGCTAAAATCGCTTAAGCTGTTCCATACATTCGGAAAAGGTTGAGGTAGAAGTCTCAACAAGGAAATCTCAATAGGACGCTTTGGAACTAATTTCAAGTCAAAGTTGGCAACCTTTCTTGCCAATATTGGGCAGGCTGACGTCTGTTCCACCTGAAATTTCATGCTAACAGTTAAACTACTTGAATATGAATTTGATATTCTAATACTACGAGGAATTTGCTATTAAACGATATTAAGCTTGCTTGCAAAACCTTTCACTTTTCCTACAAATTTTTCAATTGAAAAAACCGCCATTACTTATTAGCCAACCCAATAATACAAAGTAAGCGAGCCCAAATTATACCGAAAGCCAATCGCGATTTCTGCGATGCTCCCCCGACGAAAAAAAAACCGAGGAATAGGCGGGCGTCTTCAGGAACTCCGTCGAGGGCAATCTAGGCGTCATTGACGCCATATCGACGGAGTCTTCTTGTGATGCGCAGAATTCTCACGGTGGCATTCTTCAAGTCCCTGCGTAAATGCTCGAGTCTTTCCTCTCGTCTTTCCGTTCTATCCTGTAAATCGCAAACGCACGAGTTGTGGCCTGTTTCACCGCGGTACCGGGATCGCGCATTTCTTTTGCGGCATAGTGGGCCACTGTCATATCCCCAGTCCAAGCACGCGACACATATTCTCGCGCTCCAGGCTTGCGTCGCTCTCGCTGATATATAAAGTTGTTCCAAAAGCTCCATTTCGTGAATTTCGTATCAGATCTTTCCGCAACCATTTCGAGAACCAGTTATGTGGACTATGGAGAGTGTGTGAAGTGAGCATCCCACAGTTGCTCTACCGTCCCTCGAGTCGCTGTTCTCCTATCCCAAAATGTACTCATCATTTTCGACACGCTTCGCTATATGAATCTCCACCATCTCACAGCGTGGTTGGTGGCACACGCGGCATTTCTCTGAATCGGGTCTTTACTCCCTTCAATTGAAGAAAACCGATGAGAATGAAGTTTCCAGCAATTATTTAGATTTAACTATCAATATCACTAACGGTAAATTTGGTACTAAGTTGTATAATAGAACAGATGATTTTAACTTCAATGTAATTAGATTTCCGTATAGTGACACAAACATTTCTGTTATTAACAAAGCCTCTGTCATATATACCGAAACGTTAAGGTTAGTAAAACTTGTTCGTTCTTCGATATACAGGGGGGGGGGGCAAAAAAAAGTCATTTTGCCTCCATGACTTTTCGAGCGCTATAAGTTGCACTTTATCAAATTTTTATCGGACATTTCTACTACCATATTAAAGAGCACATTAAATACTATAATGATACTCCGCCACAGCGAGGAGCGCCATCGAGAGATTCGGCGCGCGCG